TTTATACAAAAAAGGGAGGTCATAACATAAGTTAGCAGTGGACAGTCTGATTTTTCAGAGCTTATCCCGATCCACCAGAATCTGTCAGACAATGGATGTTGCATAGCTTGTGTCACCCCTCTGTGGACTGACGCGTGGAGTTTATCCTCCACCAACTGATGGACAGTTGGATTGTTTCCACCTCTGTGACTGTGACTAATGTTGCTGTGAATGATTATGTGAACACCTTTTCTTAAGATTCTTTGGACCTCCTTACATTTTGTTTCCCCACCCCAGTCCTGGCACTGGAGATGAGGTCTAGCCTTTAGTTTCCCTGACTGGTCCGGGGTGGGGCACTCCAAGCTAGAGTCAGCTCTGCCCTTTCTCCTGCCCTCAGGCTGCCCAGGTCTGCCTGTTCTAGAGTCCTCAGTTTTTCCAGGTAACTGCCCTATCCTGGAGCCCTATGTGATGCTCACAAGTTCCAACCACACCACCATTGTGTGCTTTCCACGGGGAGGCCTGGCTTCTCAGGGCTCAGTTTCCCCATTTGTGAGTGCACTGTCTTGAGAATTAACTAAGCCAGGAAAGTGCTTGGCACATGGCAGACATTCAATAGAGAGACTTGGAAAGGGTACCAGGGGTGAGGTGAGATGACCCATTCATCCTTATTTTATCCATTGTGTTGATGTGTATCATGCTCCCCAAGAGCCCATGTGTAGCAGATACCATGTGAGATGATCATGTGATTTATCTCTTCAACCCCCTCCACAGGTTAAGAGGGGGGTCTGTGCAGCTTCATGGAGCCCAGGAAAGAAATGGCTGAGGACATGGGGCCCCTGAGTCTGTGTTTATTTGATCAGGAGCCTCCCTACCCAGGAACAGGCTTGCTTAGGGACCAGCCCCCCTGCTGAGGGCTTTCCCTTTTCTGTCCATTGGTTGCACCCTGGGAGTCTTCAAGCCACAGTGTGACTGAGGCTCCTGTGACCTATCCCCAGAGTCCCTCTGTGGCCCAGAAAGGGGGAGACTGGAAGAATATTGGGGAGATCTGTTCTCTGGGCAGAGGCCTAGGCCACCTCCTTCACCAATGAAATTTATATATGTGTGCATTTGTGGAAGTAGGGTCCCACGTGAGTGCCCGCAAGGTGCAGGCCTGACCCTGCCTCCCCATCCTGCCCTCCCAACCCCACACCCTGGGCTTGGCTACATAGGACGTTTGGATGTGGTTTGAGTGACACAAGATTAACAAATGCTTGTGTTTATTTGTGAGTCCTGCTAGCTGGGAGTGAGGCCAGGGTCCCTGGGACTCTCTTGAATCCCAATTATCCATTCCAAGCCTGGTCAGGTACATGAGCCCCAGAACTTTGCCATCCGCCCACCTTTTCATACCACCACGCACCCTGACAGTGCACGTTGACCTGCACTGAGAACCGAGTGTGTGCAGACCCCAGCAGGCCTTGCAGGGAGTCTCTTGGGAGCTGACGGAGGAGGAATGGTGTCCACCCCCATAGATTAGTTAACAGGCACAGACTGGCAAAGCCCTCAGCCACGGGTCCACAGCCAGGATCTGGGTTCAGTCCTCCAGGTGGACCCTGGGCCCTGGAGCACTGTGAGCTTCCATGCAGCCCAGAGGAGTCGAGACTGTCAGTAGCATGGAGGTTACCGGACCCAGATGCAAATCCAGACTCTGATGCTCAGTACTGGCCGTGGGCCCCTTGGTGAGTCGCTGCCCCTCTCTGGGCATCGGTTTCCTCATCTGTGAAGTGGACAGAGACATTTAGAGAACCGCTGTCTGAGCCCCCCTCCTCTTATGCCTGGGGCAGAACTGCATGTGAGAAGCCCCACTTCCCACGGCTGCACTGAGGCGTGGCCACGTGGCTCTGTCCTGGCCAGCGAGGTATGAACAGAATGGTCCCAAAGCATCCCAGGAAGATTTCCAAAAGACGCTGAGCCAGGTCTGGCCTCTGCCTTTCCTCCTTCTAAGTGAGGAGGTGAAGGCTGGAAGTCCAGCAGCCACCTTGTGCCACAGACAACTTTAAAGGCAAGAGACAGATTCTGTGAACTGAGAAATCAAATTATGTTGCGGCTGTGGCTGAGTCTGGACCTCCCAGGGTCGCTTTCCGGCTGCCTGGCTGCAGCGCACTCTCGCTGACCTCTGTGCTCACACCAGTGTGGATTCCCTCTCTGAGCTCCCAGACCTGTGGCCCAGCATGCTTCGCATCTCCTGGGTGACCCCTTCCCAGCGCCCCCCACTGGCTGGCAGTGTCCGGTGCTTGTGGGGTGTAGGCAGGCTGCTTTCCAGACCTCCCCCCAGAACTGCAGATTCCACTGTAGCAAATGTGGGTCGGAGAGGATCCCTGGGTTCCGGAGAGGAAGTGTAAGGGATCTGGCGGTGGATACCCTGTTGGGACTGAGCCGTGGGGGTGGCCTTGGCGACTTCAACGGGGCCCACAGGGTCATCTTCACAGTGTGGCAGGGTCAGCTCATGGAGGCCACGGCGCGTAGCCCTGGTGGCCCGGAGCAGAGTGTGAGTCAGTGCGGCCACCAGGACCAGGGCACCTGAGCCAAGGATGGCGGCAGCTGCTGCTCCTGTCTCAATCTCAAAGAGCAGCAAGGCGTAGATGGACAGGGCTGGGGAAGGAAATGGCTGTCATTTATTCAGTCAACAAACACTTCCCAAGTCCGACAGTGCTCCCCCAAAGTGGGGACAATCACAGAAAACCATACAACACGATAGGTACATAGATTAATTCCTCTAACCTGTTCACACCCTACACGTATATCACCATGTCCATTTTACTAGAAATGGTGAATTTGGTTTCATGTGCATTTTTTAAGATTTATTTATTTATGCATACAAGAGTTGGGGTGTAGGCCAGACATGTGCCATGGGGGGTGGGGGGTGGGGTGAGAGGATTCACCAGAGACAGAGTTGGGAGCAGAACAGGCAGATGGACTGAAATACACTGCTGAATCCTCCCCCCCACACCCACCCCTGAAGGCGCAGCAGGTCAGGATGCAGCACTGCAAGCTGGCCGCAGCCGCTTCAGTGCCGGTTCCATCCCTTGCCTGGAGGTGACCCACATGGCGCGGCAGACCTCTCCTGGCCCATCTGACACTCCCCTCAGTGTTGGGTCCTTTGCCTGGACAGACCTCCCCACCTCCCCCACAGAATCATATGCACACTGTTGTGTGGAAACAAAGAATGAGCCATGGGTGCTGGAACAGAAAAACAGGAGGCAGGAAGTGTTCCTGCCTTGTGTTTGCTACCTTGTGTTCTTTGACCCCCATGTTATTGTGGCATGTTATTGATGCACTTGCTGAGAGCTTCCGCCTACCCCCAGCCCCAGGCTCTATGCTGAAGGGTATAAATAGGGAAGGAGAGAAAAATAAAGTGTGTCTTTGCTTGCTGACCAAGAAGTGTGTGCTTTAATCCTGACGTCCTTCGCTCAGACCATCTCTGCTGTCGTGCTGGCGCGGCACCTCAGCAGTGTACTTCGTCAGTCTGCCTGTTCCGCTCCCCAATCTGTCTCTGGTGATCCTCTCACTGCCCCTGTACTTCTGACTTGTACCCCAGTTCGGTATGCATAAATAAATCTTTAAAAAAAAAGAAACTCCATCATGAACCCAACACTCATATCTCATAAATAAATGTTTTAAGTATAGGGCCTCCCTGTGGCTCAAGGGATTAAGTCTCAGCACTATGAAGCTATCCACAGATACTGCACCATGAGTTCAATCCCCGGCAGGGGACTGACCCACATGGCACAGCAGACCTCTGCTGTCTTGCCCACTGCTCCCCTCAGCAGTATATTTCAGTCAGTCTGCTTGTTCTGCTCCCTGCTCTGTCTCTGGTCAATCCTCTCACCACCCCTACGTCTGGTCTACACCCCAGATGTTGTATGCATAAATAAATAAAACAAATCTTTTTTTTTTATTAAAAAGTTTATTTTTACATTAAAACAAATCTTTTAAAAAAACTTTAATAAGATTAAAACTTCCATTTTAAACTTCTGTTTAAACTTCCATTTCTCTATTATGGAACTAAGAAAAAACCATAATAGTTAATTCCTTGAATTTTTTTCCCACTAAAAAAGGCTATCTAGAGGGCTCACAGAGGGCATTTGTCCAAGTCCCCAGAGCAAAGAAGTGTTAGAGTTGAACCCAGAAAGACTGTCTTTGGGGCTGAACCCATTTATGGGGCCATTACACTTCAATACCCCAACCAAGTCCTGAGCCTAAAATTCTATACCCCAGCACGCACCTGCTAAGTAGACAGAGACCCCACAGCAGAAGAGGCCAAGGGCCGTGTGTCTGAGGAGACGACGATCATAGAGAAACCAGTCAGACCTGGAGGGAGGGGGCCAGGAAATGAAAAATGGCTTAGGAGGCATGGAAAGGCCCAGCTTTGGGGGAACTGAAGATGTTTGTGATCTCGTATCCAACTACCTACCTACTTACACATTTGACATCCATCCATTAATCCAGCATTATCCATCCATCGATCCTTCCATCTAACTCTCCATCCACCTAACCCAACCATCCATCATCCAATCCCCACAATCCATTCACATACAACACTCATGAAACAGTTACCATGTATGGGCACTTATTAGACACCCAACTTGCATTATTTTACAGACTATAAGCTTATTTGGGAGACAAAACAGAAGTTAATTTGCAACAGTGATGGCAGGTATAGCAATCTCAAGAGCTGATCCTGTGGAGGACTTAGTTTTGAGACTGGTGCCATGCTCATCAGTTTGCTATATACACCCTCCCTCCTCTAGTCCTGTGAGAGCAGCAAATGGAAGCTAAGAGCTTCGTCATCACTTACCTCCCAGCAGTGCAATGAAAATGGCCTCTTCCTTATGCCCTCCCCTCCTGGTTCCTGGTGGCCAGAGGGTGTCATTCTAAAGGGTGTCTAAGTCAGATCACACCCCTCCCGGCTCACAGCCTTCTCAGGCAGGGGTCTCACCACCATTCTCACCATAGTGCATGAAGCCCTACTTGGTCCAATCCCTCTGAGCCCTCTGTCTCCACCTCCCTCACCTCCCACTCCAGTCATACTGTTACAGGGTAGCCCAGAGTGGGCTCACCCTCCCGTTTAAAATGTAATTGTTCTGCAGGCACACACAAAAAGGGTAATGGGTTTATTTACAAAAAAGGGGAAAGAGAGAGAGATACAAGGTAACTGGAATATCTTACCAGCTCGCTAACTTAGAGCTCCAATAACTAACTGATAGCCCCCAGTCACACAGTCTGGAGAGCCGTTGCCCCAGCGAGAGAGAGGGCCATTGGAAAAATGGTGCCCTAAATGCCCAGAATGCCTGCTTAGCTCCGCCCTTGGGTACTCACGGTTCTCTCCCTGGTACTGCTGGGAGTTGTAGTTTCCAGTCACTGGAGTATGGGGTTAGGGCCCAGAAAGCTGGAGAAGGGGGTAGAGTCCACAAAACTCTGCCGAGTTCCTTTAGGACATCCTTCCCCTTAACAATACCAACCACTTCCATCTCCCTCACCTCCCACTCCAGTCATACCAGCCACCTCCACTTCCCTCCCACTCGTGCTAGCCCCAGGACCCTCCCACGTGCCCTCTGCCCAGATCATAGTGCTCCAGGTCTTGTACTGCCTTCCCTCCTTCAAGTCTCAGCTCCTTTGATGTTTTATTTGTTTCCTGATTGCAACTGTATGAGTGAGGCTCTAAATCTGCCTGGACCTTGCTGGTTCACAGCACCCACTGCCAATTTGAGAGCTTGTCTCCTTGCAGGCTCCCAACACACATTTGCCTGTTGACAGAACACTTGCACTTTGGTGCCCCTTAACCTATCCAATAAAGTTCACAGTTTGGGTGGCATCTAGCCCAGCAGTGAAATTTTCCATCTCTCAGACCCACACAATCTTAGACAGATCCTGACCACCCTCCTCTGCTATTTGAAGGCAGACACTGGGATGAGGAGCTCAAGAAAGGCTCTTTATTCCACATTCACTGTCTCTCACCCCACACACTTTCTTGGTGTCCTTGTCTCTGAGCTTGGGCTCCTGAGCAAGGACCCCCAGCTGGGACCAGGCCCAGGCCCTGGATCTACCAGATTCAAGTTCAAATCCAGCCTACCCCCTCCAAAGCCAGGTAGCCTGGAGACAGCAGCCTAGCTCCTCTGAGACACAGTGAAAAGTACCAGCCTCCCAGGGGACCTGGGCCCTTGTGGAGCTAATCCACACCAAGCCTGGGCAATAGAATTTAGCATTCTGAAAATGACCAGCGCTACAACACTGAGGGATCACCAGCCTTCCCTGAGCCTCAGTTGGGACATCTGTAAAGTACATGTCACATAAGTAGTTGCACTTGCAATAAAATTTCAACAAATCTAGGATGGAAGAAGGGATGGGGGAAAAGAAGAAAGGAGGAGAGAAGGGAGGGAATCACTTCCCCAGTCACCTTAGGCCCAGAAAGGGGCAGCAACTCCCTTGGGTGAACACTGGCCACAGACCAGCGGAGGGGACCATTTTCCTACCTGCTGGGGCCGCGCCCCCTCGCCAGCTCAGCGCCCAGGTGGCCGCAGAGCGCGGCAAGCAGCAGACAGGTGAGGCCCAGCACCAGGGCCAGCGCGGCCAGCGAGGCTGCCAGCGGCAGCAGCGCCCCGGCCGAGTCCTCCGGGAGCCCCGCGCCGGCGCCCAACTCCGGGCCCAGCCCGTCGGAGCGTGCGCCCCGCAGCTCCGCACGACCCGCCTGCAGCTGGAACAGCAGCTGCGCGCCCAGCACCGCCAGCACCGCCGCGGGGACGCCCAGCAGGGTCATCGCAGCCAGCACCCGGCCGCCGTAAGACTGGGCCATGTCGGGGGGTTGGGCAGCAGCGCTTCACGGGTCTGCCGGGCAGTCCAGGAGTAAAAGAGAGTTAGGGGAAAGAATTTTAGGAGGGGTGACGTCCGAGGGGCTCCGAGGGGTGGAGCCTCATGGAATGTCTGAAAGTTGGGGGGCCACCAGGAGCTTAGGGTGCTGCTGGCGGTCGGGATGAGACTGGCGGAAACTTGAGCCAGTCTATTCTCTTCCTTCGGGGGACCCTACCGGCGCCTCCTCCCGGCCTCCAGGCCCTAGAGGGGCAGGGCCAGTGTGGGGCGGGGCCAAGAAGGGACCGAGGCTCCCCGGGGAGAAGGCGGGTAGTGGCCTCGCAGGTCCGTGAACTCATTAAAATGTCTCCACCCCCGCTCGCTGCCCAGACACACCTGCATTATTGTAATGAGCGCCCCCCCTCCCCCCCGTGGTGCACGAGTTAAGGAGCAGCCCTGGGAAGCTGTCGGCAGCCACTGTTCCCGGCCAGGGAGCTGACCCACATGGCGCGGCAGACCTCGCCTCACATGCCCGCTGCTCCCCTCAGCGGTGGACTTTGTCAGTCTGGCTGTTCTGCTCCCCTCTGTCTCTGGTGAATCCTTTCACACACCCCGCCCGCACTTCTGGCCTGTACCCCAGTTCTTGTATGAGTAAATAAATAAATCTTAAGAAAAAAAAGGCATCTGAAGGAATTTTAAAATAGTTCATTTTGCAGCTTTATCGTGCAGCGACTTCACCTCCGCCCACCTTTCACTTTTCAAGGCTTTGCAGTGCAGCTGCCTTTCCCCAGCCCTCCTGAGTCCCCCCCAACCCGCAAGGGTCAGCCGCGTCCCCCCCCCCCCTTCAATGGAATCGCGTGCTCTGTGGCCTTTGTGTCTGGTCTCACCCAGCTTCATGTTTCTGAGGCTCATCCACATGGAGGCGTGTCAGGGCTTCGTCCCTGCTCATGGCTGGGCGATGCTCTGCTGTGTGGCTGGGCACATTTTGGGGGGATTTTTATTTATTTATTGTTTTAAAAGTTAAGTGAAACTTACATGCCATTAAATGAAGCATTTTGAAGTGAATAATTCGGTGATAGCTAGTACACATATTATATTATGGAACCACCACTTCTATCTAGTTTTAGGACATTGCATCCGTCAAGATGCAATGATCAGTCACCATTAAGTAGTCACTCCCTAGAGGAATTAAATAAGGGATAAGGAAAAAAATTATAATAAATTAAAAATCAAAATCAACAGGCAACTATAAAGCAGAAATGTTCTGCAGGGGGCAAGGAGGGAGAAGGATCAAAACAGGGGTGGGAAGAGCACAGGGGACTGTGATGGTGCCCCGGGGAACTGGTGGTGGGACTATTACGGGGGCTACACTGAGGAGAAAGCATACATTGTAGAGAAATGAAGAATGATGTAAAACAAACATCTCTATAGATAATTATCAAAATGTAAGGTGTGTTGTGTGCATATATGTATATGTATACACACACACACACACACACACACACATATAGCCTAACCATCCTATTGGTGACACAAGCTATGCAACGTCCATCGTCCGACAGATTCCGGGTGGATCGGGATAAGTTCTGAAAAATCAGACTGTCCACTGCTAACTTATGTTATGACCTCCCTTTTTTGTATAAACATGATATCAAAATATTCTGAGCAACATTCAGCTTATAACTGGATTGTCTTAGCCACACAGGCGGCCGCCTGGTTCTGGCAAGCTGCCCCGGGAGGAGAAATTCCTCTGTCTCCTGAGACAAAAGGCAAGCCCCAGGAGAAATAAGACCCCAGGACATAAAAACTCCTGGGAAGCTTCCTTGGTTTCTTTAAATAAAAAAGCAAACCTCAGATAAGGCTCCCAGGGCATAAGGACTCATGGACAAATTTTAACCTTGACTACACAGGTGTTGTTTGATATACAACTGTATAACTTTCTCTTAATTTACTCCTTTTTAAAACAAGCACTAACTACTCTCCGCTAGCCTTAAATTAGGCACTAGCTTTTCTTTAGACAATCACTGATAACACTGCTAACACAATTTATTACTACCTCAAGACCCCTAACAACCTTTTGCTAACAAGCTCACCCTTTCCCAGACCTCTCTTCCTTTGAGTGATAACTAGACAGCTGTATACATGATAACTATCACAAAACGTATAATCTGTTATACCATAAATTGTTAAGAGAAGAATGCTTTTTCCCCTTGTCCTTGAGAATGTTTTATGGAGATATCTCATTAACTGACCCTATGCATTATTACAATTAACTACTTGCTACACAGTATAAATAAAGACCTGCTGAAGGGATAGCAGGAAGACTTGCACCCTATCCTGACTCCCGTGTCTTCCTCGCACCCGCTCCTGTCTCCCCTTTTGGAATATCCGCTCGCCGACGCCTTCCCATCTTAGGGTCCTACCTGTCCTGACTCCAGACACCTCAAAAGTTGGAGCTAGGGCCCTCCCTGGTGGCGCAGCGGGTTAAAGCCCTGCACTGAGAATCTAAAGCCGCTTCCGCATGAGTTCGATTCCCGCCTGCCCCGGAGGTGACCACATGGCGCGGCAGACCTCTCCTGGCCCGGCAGACCTCTCCTGGCCCGCCCGCTGCTCCCCTCAGCAGTGTACTTCGTCGATCTGCCTGTTCTGCTCCCCACTCTGTCTCTGGTGAAGCCTCTCGCCGCCCCTGAGCCTCTGGCCTGTACCCCAGTTCTGTATGCACAGATAAATAAATCTTTAAAAAAAAAAAAAGTTGGAGCTAGTCTCCAACATATTGGTTTTTTTTGTTTTTTTTTAAAGATTTATTTATTTGTGCATACAGAACTGGGGTACAGGCCAGAGGCTCAGGGGCGGCGAGAGGCTTCACCAGAGACGGAGTGGGGAAATGAACAGGCAGATGGACTGAAAACAGGTCGCCTGACAAGGTACACTGCTGAGGGGAGCAGCAGGCGGGTCAGGAGAGGTTTGCCACGCCATGTGGCTCACCTCTGGGGCAGGATCGAACTCATGCTGAAGTGGATTTAGCTCCTTAGTGCTGTGCTGTAACCTGCTGCGCCATCAGGGAGGGCCCTTGGTTGTTTTTTTTTTTTTTTAAGATTTACATATTTATACATACAAGAACTGGGGTACAGGCCAGAGGTGTAGGGCGTGAGAGGAATTCACCAGAAACACAGTGGGAGCAAAACAGGCAGATGGACTGAAATACACCACTGAGGGGAGCCGCAGGCAGGTCAGGTCTGCTACGCCGTGTGGGTCACCTCTCTGGCTGGGACTCGAACTGGTCCTACAGTGGCTGTGGCTAGCTTCACAGTGCTGTGCGTAACCCATTGCACCACCAGGCAGGGTCTTCCTATTGGGTTTTGATTGCACTTCCCTGATGTTGAACTTGTTGGCCATTTGTATATCTTTTTTGAAGAAATGTCTGTCCATCTCTTCACTTATTTTACAGCTAGGTTGTGAGTCTTGCTCTCCCATGGCACTCTGCCTCCCCTACAGTGCACCATGTATAGTTTCCCCACTGCCTGAGGCTCCCTAGAGGCAGAGCCTGAAGACAGACCAATGACTACCGCCAGCCTCCACCACCTTATTTTTCAGAGTCTGGGGCTCTGCCTAGGACACAGTAGGCCCACAGTAAATACTCACTGCACACATGAATGACTGAATAGCCTTGGAATTCTGCTCTGAAATTCCTACACAGTGTGAAATATCAAATCTGGAAATGGCTTCCAGCATATTCTTGACTGACCCAGAACATAGTGAATGAGACTGCCTTGGCCTCCTGCATGCAGGGTCTTGTCTTAATACACTTGGGCTTGCATAAGCCATCACCCTGGACTTTGTAGATGAAGAAAGAGGCACAGAGGGGTACACTGACTCCCTGGGTCACACAGCCAGCACAAGCTGGGTGGAGTTGAACCCAGCAGCCTGGTTCATCCCACTGTTCTATTCTATCCCACAAACGTGTTTGAGATCCTGCTGGTTTTGCATTTCCTTGTCTTCTTTCTGATTTTTGAAGTCAGTATTTTTTTCAGGTTTCAAAACCAGGGTTCTCTAGGAAGAGTTTGTTAAGGCACACCCTAGTCAGTGCCTTCAAATGGCTCTGTGGGAGAGTACCAGGTGAACTTCAGATCCAGATACCTTCTCCTTTGCTGTATGGCTTGTATTCCCTTAACCTCTCTGGGCTTCCTCGTGTGTAACAGGAATCAGCATATTCATTCACCACATTTCAGCTTAATATACCCATCCTCTTTTATCATCACCAAAGTTAGGATGAATTTTCCATGTTTTACAAGTTAGGAAAAGTTCCAAATTTGGCTATTAAGGGCTCACTGACTCATTTGGTATGGAGCCACTCCTCTGTTCCAGGGGTTGGGATACATATATAACACATTTGTATTTATTCATTCAACAAGCAAATGGGAAACCTACTGACTTTGGGGAACAGTGATGACACTAAGGTAGAACATCTAGCTTGCCCTTTGTAGGCTGGTGGCCTTATGAGGGAGGCAAACAAACATGCTAAATTGGACTAGTCAAGGGACAATTCTATACAATAGCAAAAGTCATCAGAGTGCTAGCTCAAATCTCACCATATTTGTTTGGGGCTGAGAGGCAGATATGAAGACTTGGCGCTATACTTGGTGTGTGAGAGTGGCTTTCATGTTTGGGGGGTGGGAATCTGGCTTTAATGTGGGAAGTTAACCTTACATGTAGGTTAACATTCTCAGGTTGACCTTGTTTCCTGGGCAAGGTTCCAAGCTGACCCTTCCTTACTAACGCTCTCATGAAGGTGGAGTGGGAGTTATGCCCCCTGTTTGCTATATTAGACAGGAAGTGGGAGACTTGGAGAGGAGCAAAGACCTGTCCCCATGACAGTCTGACAGGATGAGTGACCACTTCGGCCTTACTATTCATATTACAGGGCAGGGAGAGAGTAGCACCATCAAGCCCCCAAAACTCCCTGCTGCAAATAGTTTCTGCCATCTGCTGCGTCAATATAAGACATAAGAGCTTTAATGAATATACAATATGAAAAAGACAATCAAACACCCAAAGTTACTCAACCCCTTGTGGGTCAAAGTCCACTCAAAAGGCATTGGCCCAAAGCAAGGCCTGAAAGCCTGCCACAAGCCTAAAGCGCCTTCTGGCCGGGACCCAAAGAAAAGGGTCAGAATTAGCCAGACAGGCCCTCTCTGGTGGTGCAGCAGCTTAAAGTGCTGCACTACAGCTAGCCACAGCCACTGCAGTGCTACTACTTATCGATCCCCAGCCCCCAGAGGTGATCCACAAGGCATGGCAGACCTCTCCTGTCTCGCCTGCTGTTTCCCTCAGCTGTGTGTACCTCATCAATTTGCCTGCTCTGCTCCCCACTGTCTCTGGTGATTCTTCTTACTGCCCCTATACCTCTGGCCTATACCCCAGTTCTGTATGTATACATAAATAAATCTTTTTTAAAAAGAAAAAAAAAAAGGAAATAGCCAGACAAATCTGGGAGGAAAAGAACAAAATCAAAATCAAGACAAACGTTGCCATAGTGAACCTCCCCACAGGTCTCTCACTCACACCTGTTTCAACCAGTCCAGGACCTGGCCTGCATCCTGCTTCCTTCCTCAGACTCCTCTCCAGATTCCTCTCTTCTTTGCTCAGCTCCACCCTCCTGGGTGGGGCAGGGAACCTGGAACTTCCCCTTTTCCTGGGGACCACCCTGTTACACTCAGGCAGGGACGCTTGAGGAGCACTAGATGGGATAATAACAATGATGCTGATGGTAGCATGTCTGCCCTGAGATATGTCAGAAAGGACATTACTTTTTAAAAATATTTATTTATTTATGCATACAGAACGGGGATACAGACCAGAGATGTGGGGGGCCAGGGTGAGAGGATCCACCAGAGACAGGGGGTTGTTGCGTCAGGCAACACCACATTGGTAAAGAAATGGAAATCGCAGAGAGCTACATAATGCAGGACGCTGCTGAAGAGCAAGATCCTGGCCTTTTTATTGATGAACAGCATTAGTCATCTGGGGAAGCAGAAAAGGAAAGGAAGAAGCCGAAGGAGGGGAAGGGTGGAGCTGTATTTCTCCTCTTGGTGTTTGAGTCCAGTCCGGATTCCCCATTCAGGATTTCACTGTTATCAATAAGGCGTTGTACTGGTCAGCTTCGGGGGCCCTTTGTTATACATCTGTCAATGGCCTCCCGGGTGTTCCTGGTCATACCTCTCGATGCACACCCTTCCCAGAGTGATTCAGCTTTATGCTCTTGATATGAAAGTCACCTTGTAGGGTTGGGCTCTTATGACCTGGCTCTTCTGACCTTGCTTTAGTAATACAGAACTGTAGGTAACAAAATGGAGGCTGGACAGGCTGCTTACGATTAGCAGACCCATAGTGGGGTGCAGAACAAGCAGATAGACTGCAATACTCTTCTGAAAGGAGCAGCGGGCAGGTCAGGAGAGGTCTGCTGTGCCATGTGGGTCACCTCCCTGGCCAGGGATTGAACTCATGCTGCCGTGGCTGTGATAGCTTCATAGTGCTGTGCTTTATCCTGTTGCGCCACCAGGGAGGGTCTAGAAAGGAAATTCCTAAAAACTTTTATTAAAAAAGCCAGCAAGGGCCCTCCCTAGTGGTACAAGGGGTTAAAGCTTAGCACTATGATCACTGCAACTTGAGTTTGATCTCCTGCCAGGGAGCTGACCCACATGGCATGGCAGATCTCTCCTCCCACCTACTGCTCCCCTCAGCAGTGTATTCCAGTCAATCTGCCTGTTTTGTTCCCCACTGTCTCTGCTGAATCCTCTCAACCCCACCCCAACTCTCGAGCATCTCTGGCGGGTACCCTAGTTCTTGTATTTATAAATAAATCTTAAAAAAAAGTAATAAAATAAGAGCCCTCCCTGGTGGTGTTATAGGGCACCTCAATTCAGAGAGAGGCACCTCTGAAGCCCCAAAACCTGCCTGCTCTAAGTGGGTTCTGCCATCCGCCGCAACAAGACAAAACATATAAAGCTTTAATGAAAAGTGACTTTAATACAGTGAATATACAATATGGAATACAAAGAATGTAACTTCTAAATCAAACACCTGAAGTTACCCATCCCCTCGTGGGCAAAAGTCAACCCAAAAGGGATTGGCCCAAAGCAAGGCCTGAAAGCCTGCCACAAGACTAAAGCACCTTCTGGCCGGGACCCATGGAAAAGGGTCAGAAATGGCCAGACAAATCTGGGAGGAAAAGAGCAAAATCAAAATCAATATAAACACTGCCATAGTCACCTCCCTACAGGGATCTCACCCACATCTGCCTTAACCAGTCCAGGGTCAGGAAACAAGCCCGGTTTCTTCATCACATGTTTGCTGCTCCATGTGGCTTCCTTAGGTCTCCTTCTTCTCCATCTGCCTTTCTTCTCTCTTCTTCTCTCTCCTTTTTCTCTGCTCAGTTCCACCCTCTTTCTGGGTGGGGCAGGGAACCTGGAACTTCCCTTCTCCTAGGGACCACCCAGTTACAGTGACACAGTGGGTTAGAAATGCAAGCTAGCAGCAGCTGCCTCAGTGTGAGTTTGATCCCTGCCAAGGAGGTGATCCACATGGCGCAGCAGACCTCTCCTATCTCACCCACTGCTCCCTTCAGCAGTGTCCTTTGTCGATCTGCCTGTTCTGCTCCCCACTTTCTCTGGTGAATCCTTTCACTGCCCCTGCATCTCTGGCCTGTACCCCAGTTCTGTATGCATAAATAAATATTAAAAAAAGAAATAAACGCTGGGCAAGCTGGTGACTTAGCATTAGGTACAGAGGCTAAGAGATGTTATCACATAGGGTCTAACTACCCATTTCACAATGGGGCAACTGAGATTCCCCAAGTTCTGCAGCTGTAACCTGAAACAGGTGGCCTCATCGACCTGAACTTCAATGCCCTCACCTGGTTTGGGGGAGGGGTGATCATAAAATGAGATGCTCGGCCAGTTCTCAGGCCTCAACGATCTCCCAGACTTCGAAGCCGAGAGCCCTGCAAGAAGGCCCTTTGCTGAAATCCAGCAAGGGGCATGCATGAATTACAGATTCACAGTCGCCCCAACTCCGCCACCAGGGGGCACCAGAGGTAAAGCCAAAGGGTTCGCGCGCGAGCGCGTCTGGTTCAGGTTACCTGGGTAGTAGGGCCTGGCCTTTTTTTTTTTTTTAATTCCAGAGAAAAAGACTTAGAGATGGGAGGTGACTGTCCTATAGTCACAGCTGGGAAGTAACTCCAGGGGTCCCCGGAGGGACAAAGACAAGGGGAATACTAGCTTTCACTGGTGGCCCAGGACCCCAGCGCTCATGATGCTGAATATTAAAACTTAGCCCGTGCAAAATACAAATTTGTTGGTAAAGGGTTGTTATCATTCTGTGTATGAACTGTGTGGGCAGCTCACTTAATGTACCTTCTCAGCACTATTATCATTCAATTTGAGTTTACATTTTTCTGCTTTGAAAATATTAACCACCCTGATTGTCCCAGAGTTTCAAAATCTTTCTAGAGACTCTGTTTGACCATCCCAGTCCTGAAGGGTCAGACGCTGCTTTGGAGGACTGGGACCCGCTTGAGGGGGGGGTCTCTCAAGTTAAAAAAACACTGCTACCCACCCTGCCCCATGTTCACCTTCTGTAACAGGGTGGTCCCTAGGAAAAGGGGAGTTCCAGATTCCCTGCCCCACCCAGAAGGAGGGTGGAGCTGAGCAGAGAAAAAGAGAAGAGAAGCAGGATGGAGAGCCAGGAGACCTGAGGAAGCCACATGGAGCAGCAAGCCTGTGAGGAAGAAGCCGTGCTTGTTTCCTGACCCTGGACTGGTTAAGGCAGATGT